GACTGTTGTTAATTTTTCTTCATATCTGTTTCTGGTAAACATCATTATCCATCTACAAGACCTTTGCTGCATTCCCTACACAGTCTAGCTCGTCTGTCTCCTATCTGTTCCATTACACTTAAACACAGGAACCCTTAAGCCTGCTGAGTACCACTTTCTGTCATGAGTAACAACACTAATTTAAGTGCTGATTAACGAGAGTAAGAGTTTTGTATTGGCATACCCTAATTCAAGTTAAGGAAACCATCCTTCTTCAAAAACAGTTAGGCAGACAATGCAAACACCAACATCTTTTCCTGTGAATGCATTTTCTTGGAGTTTTTTTTCCCTGAAAAAATATCAAATGGTAAAATCATCATCTTTTAGTAACAAAATTCTAATTACTCAATAGGACCACTATTTTATAGCTGAGCTTTTGTTACAGGGAGTGGTAATCAAGGCTGATATTTTTATTCTTTCTGTGGCTAGCTCTTTATTGCCTAATTTATCTTATTTTTGATGTTAAAATATTTACTGTGAATATTAAAATTATCCTAAAACTGGAATATATGTAAGTGTGTGTGTGTAAGGTCATAGCTTTCATTTGCCTTTGTTTATCGATAGTAAAAGAAAAAAGAACCATACTAATCTCAAGTGTGAATGAATTCTTGTGCATATTTTTGGTACTAGAAACAGATTTCTTGAATGAATCATGCATTGAAAAATACATGTTTTACAATACATCTCTATTAGTGCATCAAATGTAGCTAACATACATACTTTTTCAGTTAAGGACCTACTTTTGTCAATATCCAAAACTGTGCAGCTATAGGAATAAGAACATGTAATTCTGAATTTCTACTTCCTCACTAATCCACCACTGCTAATCACCATAGATCATGAGTCTAATCTCAATTCTGGGTGTGATTATGAAGAGTAAAACTGGACTAAATATGGCACTGGACATGTTGGCAGGCAGTTTAGGCTTTCTTCTTTAGCAAATCCATGGACTTACTTCATACTCCTGAGCAAATAACTGATTTTCTCTATGTGTCTATTATTTTTCCTGTTTATGTTATTTCTTCTATTTTATGTCATTAAATCTTTGAAGAACTTCTGTTTCTTTGGTTTTTTAGTCAAAAACCAAATGTGGTTTTGGTTTTAAAATTATCCTTAAACATAATTGCTCTACAATTTCTTTTCGTATAAAGTTTGTGATTATTTATATTTTTGGTAATGCTGGTTCCTGATTTTAGAATAGAATTAAGTTCCTATATGCTCCTCAATCACTTTTTGGTTTAACATATATTCACACAACAATCATTTGCTTTTGCTTTATATATATATAAAAAATACCTGTTTCAAGATCTTAAGAAACTATTTTCATGGACTTTTCTGAGACTGCTTGGTAAGTTAATGGTTTTGGACATATTTTATGAAAGGTACTACTTTTTTAAAATTACAATCCAAGTGAAACTTTCTTCCTTCTAGATTGTTCTTTTCCTCATTACAAAGATATTGCATTCTCTTCATTTCAGAAATTAAAATAAGTTATTTAAAATAATTTTGAAGTCTTTTTAAATTGAGCTTCTTATTTTCTTCACCCACCATTTTCACCTTGCAGATTTAGTTTTTATTAAAATGTGTTCTGCAGCTATCATTCACATCTGTTCCAAATTTAAAATCTCTTAAAAATACTATTAACTAGCTTTGTCTCTATCTCTCAGTTTTGGTCTTAATTTGAGTTAACATGTTGGTTAATAAGACATATTAGATAATGCTCTGGCACTATCAGAAATCTTTATTTTTTCCTTCTTTGGAAAATACAAGTAGTGAAAATACTGTCTTACAAAAAAGTCCTTACAACTCTTTCATCATTGAGTTCTTATTTTCTATCACATGCACTGATTTTTTTTTAGCTGAGTATATACATCTTCTGTAAAAGATCAGTGCAAGACCTTAGATGCAGACTCACTTTCTAGCAGATGCCCTGAGTTTTACCACTTTCCAGGAAGTGACCTACTGTTAATTTTTTTCTTTGTCTCTTGGTAATTATGGATGTAATCCAAAGTATATTGGAAATCAATACCTGTTCTCTGAGGAAATTGTAAGGAATGAAGCCAGGGGTCTAATAGGTCTTTCACATCTCTAATTACCTTGCTCCTGTGAATTCCAGTCCCATACTGAGGTCTGCTAGGTAATCTCTAGATGGATTAAATAGCTGTAAGCTATTATTTTTCTTGAAAATAAGACCTTGGGAAATTTAAACTCACAGCAGTATATTATTATGATGAAAATGGGATTTTATCGTCACCAGAAGAAAAAACTGGCACTGAATTATTTACGCAGTTAGTCAGTTGTAGAGTGTCATGATCCATACTGAGGTGCTCCTGCATAGTCCATACATCTCAAACAGAGTATGCATGGATGTGTCATTCACATTTGTATGTGAAATATCTGTATGTTGGTTATGAACATTTGGGTTCTTTGATTGTGGAGCAACTTTTATGGCACCTAGCCTGTTGGAGCCAGATGAGCTGCATCTATCTGTCCAGGGAAAAAGGATTCTAGCCCATGAATTGGAAGAACTGACTGACAGAGCTTTAAACTAGGTTAGAAGGTGAAGGGGATGCAACTGTGCTCTTGAGAAACAAGCCCAAGTGTGGTAAGCCAGTCAAGGGTGAAATCAGTAGCCCAGTTAAGGTGTGTGTACGCTAATGCGCGCAGCATGGGTAACAAACAAGAGGAGCTGGAAGCCATGCTACTGCAAGGGAGCTGTGATGTAGTCACCATCATGGAAATGTGGTAGGATGGCTCACAGGACTGGAGCACTGGCAAAATGCTCTTTAGAAGAGACAGGAGAGGGAGAAGAGGTGGAGGTATGTCTCTTTACATTAGGGAGGCTCTTGACACCATGGAAATTGAGATTAATGATGATAAGGCTGATTGCCTGTGGGTTAGAGTCAGGGGGTAGGCCAACAAGGCTGACATTCTGGTAGGAGTCTACCATAGATCGGCCAGCCAGGCTGAGGAAGTGGATGACTTATCTTACAAGCAACTGGAGGATGTTTCAAGATTACCAGGCCTTGTTCTTGTAAGTGACTTTAATCTGCCAGATATCTCCTGGGAACTCAACACAGCAAAGAAGAGGCTGTCTAGGTGGTACTTAGAGTGTATGAAGGACAACTTCTTGTCACAGCTGTTGAGTTAGTCTACAAGGGGAGGAACTACACTAGACCAGTTATTTGCAAACAGAGGTGGGCTGGTGGGAGATGTGGTGGTTGGAAGCTGTCTATGGCACAGTGACCATGAAATTATAGAATTTTCAATCTTTGTTGAAAAAGGAGGGGCATCAATAAAGCTTCCACATCATACTTCTGGAGGACAGACTTTGACCTGTTTAAGACATTTATTCTGAGAGTACCTTGAAAGCAGCCCTTAGAAAAAAAGGACTCCAGGAAGGATGAGCGTGCTTCAAAACAGAAATCTTGAAGGCACAGTAACAGATTCTCTATGTGCCAAAAGATGAGCCGATGAGGAAAATGAGTGGCCTGGATAGGCAAGGAGCTTTTGAAGGACCTAAGAAAAAAAAGAGGGTGCATCACCATTGGGAGGAGGGTCAGGTATCTCAGGAAATGCTTAAGGGAGTTGCTAGGTCATGTAGAAAAAAAAATTAGAGAAGCAAAAGGCCAGTTAGAACTCAATCTGCCCTCTTCCATGAAGGAAAACAAAAATTAGTTTTTAGAAATACATTAATGGCAAAAGGAAGGGCAAGGACCACCTCTATTCTCTATATGATGTGGATAAATTCAGTAACTAAAGACAAGGAAAAGGCAGAGGTACTTAAAATCTTCTTTACCTCAATTGTCAATAGAAAGACAGGTTCCCCTCAGGACAGCTGGCCTCCTGGGCTGGGAGGTGGTATCAGAGAGCAGAATAGTCACTCTGTTATGCAGGAGGAGACAGTCAGAGCCTGCTGAGCCACTTAGATGCTCACAAATCTATCGGACCAGATGGGATCCATCCCAGGGTGATGAAGGAGCTGGCAGATGAGCCTGCAGAGCCACTCTCCATCATATACCAGGAGTCTTGGCTCATGGGGAGGTCCCAGATGACTGGAAGCTTGCCAGTGTGATGCCCATCTACAAGAAGGGCCAGAAAGAGGATCTGGTCTTGTTAGCCTGACCTCAGTGCCTGGCAAGATAATGCAACAGATCACCCTGAGGGCCATCACAGGACCTTCAGGATAGCCAGGGAATCAGATCCAGCCAGCATGGGTTTAGGAGGGGTAGGTTGTGATGACTAACCTGATCTCCTTTTACGACCAGGTGACCACCTGTGGATGCTGTCTATTTGAACTTCAGCAAGGCCTTTGACACTATCTCCCGCAACATATTCCTGGAAAAGCTGACAGCCCATGGCTTGGACAGGAGCACTCTGCTGGGTTAAGAACTGGCTGGTTGGCAGGCCCAGAGAATGGTGGTGAACAGTGCTGTATATCCAGTTGGTGGCCAGTCACTAGTGAGGGCCCCCAGGAGTTGGTACTGGGGCCAGTATCTTCACCGGTGATCTGGATGAGGGGATTGAGTCCACCATCAGTAAATATGCAGATGAGACCAAGCTGGGAGCATGTGCCAATCTGCTGGAGGGTAGGAGACCTGTACAAAGGGACCTGAACAGGCTGGATAGATGGCCAAGTCCAAAAACATGAGGCACAGAATCACAGAATGAACGAGGTTGCAAAAGACCTTTGAGGTCATCAACTCCAATTTATGACTTAACCTAAAACCTCCACATAAACTAAACCATGGCACTGAGTGCCAAATCCACTATTTTTTTTAACATATCCAGAGACAGCTTAACTCTGGTTACTTAGTGACTGCACAAGGTTTTAGTGAAGATAAGTTAGGACATGCTGACAAATTTGTTCTACAAATAGTTCCTAACTTTGTCAAGAAGGTTAGCCTTTGAGAAAAAAACTTGTGTTATATATTGCAGACTGGGTTGCACAATTTACATACCTCCTTGTGCAGGGAGATCTTGTTTTTGGGGAAAGTAGTCTTCTGTTGATGCTTGGTCAAGGTGGCACACCTTTGTTATGCATCAGCTAACCAAATGCCACTGATTGTAATCAGCAATTAAGTCTAGTTTAAGGACTTCTTGCTCATTGCCAAGTGAGTTGCTTCACAGAACATTTGAAACAACCTGCAAGAAAAAAACAAGATGGTGAATAAATACAAAGGGCATGTAGCTGAGACTTACCAAGACACTTTTAACAGAATGTGTTCTGTTTTTCTTGAGTGGCAGAAAATACTTCCTGGAATGCTGAAAGAACTGCAAGATGTCTATAAATTTGTTACTACCACTGAAAAGCAGCAAATGAAAATCTGTGGTGAAGTATACAGTTGGTTTTTGTACCATCTGTATAAAAGGATCCATGTAGAATGTCTTGAGAACATCTTAAATGTTGAAGAAAAATGTCAACCACTATGTGGGATTCTCCTTGAAATAAATGAAAAATTCCTTCTCAAATATTCCTGGAGAAGATTTTTGTGCATTCCTTCCAAAGCACAGCTTCTAAAACTAGAACATATTCAGTTCAAGAGTCATTCCAACTGCTTTTTTAGACTGTTTTGTTGCAGTATCCAAGGAAATGCAAAGATAGATACAGTACTGTTTTGCCATCTAATATCCTGCAATTCATTCAGTCCAAACATAAACATTTGTTGTGGACTGATGTCCTAGTAACAGTTACTGACTGGTCTAAATAAGACATGTTGGCTAATGGTTCAAAATCAGGTTATTTTGTCAGTCCATTCCATTTTAGAGTGGCTCTTTAACAGCAGGGAATTGTGGCTAAGCATCAACACCTTGCCTTCTACTAGCCAATAAATCAATACTGTCCCACTACTATTTTTTTTCTTTGTTGTAACTTGTAATCCAAAATAGATAGCTAAGCAGTTTGCTTTCACAGCCCAAACTTCAGTACAAAAAAGGCTTGCAAGATGTGGAATTCAGTTCAGCAGAAGCCAGCGCTTACATACCAAGTTTTGTTCTTTTCTCATAGACGGGAGATAATACTGTGTGGAATGATAAGCACCCCCTCTCAGGAAAGTTGAGGGTACTTAGCCCTTTGCCTTTCAAAAATCCCTAAGGGATTCCATTAGCTAGAGTTAAGTTGCTGTATATATATCAGTATAAAAAGCTGGAGTCAATCAGATTCGTCTCCAAAGCCACTGAGGTAATTTTTAGTGTTAGCAGTGAATTTAATTGGATTTGAACTGATGTCCAAGATAATACACAGAAATATGCTAATTTTGAATATATTTTCCAGCTGTTCATTTTCATTTTATCCATTGTTCATATGTCAAAAGTTTAGCCCTTCAACTCTGTATATTTTTGGAAATGGTCTATTATAACTGAATAGGTTGTTTAGGGGTTTTTTTGCATTAATTTTTGCTCTGTCTCAGTGGTCCACATTGTGTCCTTCCCTTGATTTGACTATTTGGCCCAGTGGGACTGAAAAAGTGACCATGCTTCAGTTTGCCTTTACCTACTGTGCTCAGTAGGAAGGTAAAAATGTGTTTATTAAAGCTCATAATTTCTGCTCATAGTTTTCCTCAACTTCCATATTCAGTTCTATATTTTGTAAAGCAGTGTAACTGGCAGGATTGGAAACAATAGCAGATAAGGCAAACATTCCTAAGGTTTTTGGTCACAATTCAGGTACTAGTAAGGTAGCTTGTAACTAGAATATTTGTCTAGAGTACTGTTAGATGTTAGTGGCTATTTTTAGACAATCCTAAAGATAGTAGGATAAAGGCTAGCTGGCATGTACATGAAAGCAGATCTGTGTGATATCCTATTTTTTTTTCCTCTTTCAGATCCCCTTCGAGGTTTTTTTATGAACTGAGATTTTTTTTTGTTTGTTTTCTGGGTTATGATGCATTATAGTCTGCTGGAGAACTGTTAAAGCTTAGATGTGTCCAAATCTGACTGTCGGTGATGGAGAGAGATGGAGAGACTGACTGGGTGATCATAATCTGATTTTTTTTGTGGGATACAAATGCTTATGTACTATTTCAGGGAGACTAGTAATGTGTACTACAATTATTAGGTTAAAATCACATACACAAAATTATGCATATAACAACATCTCTTACTTGCAAAGTTTAATGGAATTTTCTTTTTCTGGTAAACCTGTCTGAATTAATCTTGTAATCGAGGTCTAATTTTCAAATTTCCGTTTGCTTTTGCCAAGGCATCCTGTTATCAAATCTCTTTTGTTAACCAGGTCCAAAGTTCATCATCTGCCTTGTGTCCCCCAACATTCCAACATCTGACATTATGTTTTGTGTAATCTTTCCTGTAAAGCTGGTATGTATTTTGCAAAATTTGTGTTCTACAGTGGCATTGTAATTCTGCTGCACTACAAACAATTAACAATCCTGTTGTTGGAAAACTGTGTTCTTAAACAGTGTCAGTACTGAGTTTGTGAATTTAGCTGACAGGTTACATCTTAGGGTATCCTTCTGCTATTTTTAAATTCCAGAAATTCTCCTAGCAGGTTTATACAAGATCAAGACTCTTAAAAATAGAGCAGCCAACATAATCTTTAAAAAAAGATCAAGGCTCTTTTCTATTCACCCTGTTTGTCACATGAAACAACTTCAAAGGAGTTTTTCAAAACACTAATGTATTCAGGAATGAAAATTAAGTATGATGCCTTTTCAAATATGTCAGTAATTCACAAATTCTCTAAAGACTTGGGATTGTTAGACCTGGTTTAATTACTATAAAGAAAAAAATATTACCAAATTTTCTTGTAGAGGTGTTTCTGTTTTGAGAATGCAGAATCTTGGAAGTGTTGAGTATCTTGTTTACTGGGGTTCTTTTGAGAGCGTAAAAGAAAAATTTTTCTTGGGAGGTTCTGTATTCTGAAACATGGAAGATGCAACTGATAGTGAAAAGTCTGTGTCATCTAAAAAAACTTATGCATCCTTTTGCAGAATTTTTTTCACATTTAGGTCTGTGTCCAGCATGAGCACACATGGCCCTATGAGATACAGTTGGGTGTATAGGTGTTGAAATAGGTGTAGAAATCAAGCTGATGGCATTAAGCTTCAAGAACCTAACAGCAACAGCAGCCACATCCCTTCTTTCCTTCCCAGTTGTGGTCATTTTTGAGTTCTGTTTTTTAGGACGACTTTCAAGAGTTTCAGAGATCCACTGAATAAAGAATTTTGCCACTTTCATCTTGACATATTCACGCTGCTCTACTAACCTGACTTGGTCCCAGAATTCAAGATTATGCCATTCCACCCAATAAATTTGCTGACATTAAAGACCATCTAACATCCAGAGCAGAAGGCAGTACTTGCTTTTCAGACAGTCTAGCTGGCCTACCATTATTTCCTTTCCTGATTGTGTTGAGCACTCTCTGTGTACTTCTGTAGTATAAAACAAAACAACAAAATAATTTTCTGTTTGTTTTAGAGTTTCATCTCTTTGAACTGTCCTTCACTGTGACATTTCAGATTCTTAGGTGCACTGGCTACTGAGTAGATCCAGCCTGTCCTTCTAGCATGTTTCAGTGAGAGTGATAGGTTCTGTGTGGTACAGCTGCATCAAGAATTACATAATGCAATAAAAAACCAGAGTTACCCTTTGTTTGTAATTACTATAAAATGCAATTCTGGATGTCAACTTTGACGTCCAAGAGGTTGTAGCTTTCATTCTGTCTCTTAGTTATGAGTAGTCTATGTCAAGTAATCCAAAGCAGAAAACAGAAGGCATTGCCCTCATAGTTCAATCAAATCTCATATTTGCTCTAAAGCTAAGTTTAAGAAAAATAAAGAAGAATAAATTCAAACAAGAATAAAGAAGGATGAATTCAAGCACTAGTAGGTAGGTTACTCACATATTAGCTATTTAGAGCAAAATTCTCCTGGCAGAAAACTCTGTGGTGTATATAAGAGACCTTGCATATTTTTCTTGTTCTGTAGATGCTGCTGACAGGAGTTCTCAGTCACTGTACTTATGGGGAAGAATGAGCTGCATTTTAGCAACTTTCTTCCTGTTTCCAGGAGTTTCCACCTCATCTATTAAAATGCTTGTTGTAGTATCAATCCAAAACAGTTTATGTGGCAGCAGTAGGATCCTGAAGATTTCTAACAGATTAAGGATTTAAAAATGAAAGGTTTTTTAAAGTTTGTTAGAAAATTGTAACTGTCAGTTAGTTACTTCCTGTTTTGTGGGTTTTTTGGTTTATGTTTTGGTTTGGTTTGGGGGTTTTTTTGTGGGTTTTTTTCTCCTGGTGGAAATGCTGTTTTATCAAAGTCAGTTTCCCAAATAAATCTCAATAACCAACCCCCCAGCCCCCAAACTATCAATTTTGCTTTGCTGAAATGCTTCTTATGAAAAAAAAATCAATATTTCATTCTGTCATTAGAAGTTGAAATCTGAAATACAGCCTTTCAAATACATCTAAAAATATGTTTGAGCTGGCCTGATTATATACATATAAATATTTTTGAAGCAGATTTTTTGGGAATGATTTGTAGTTCCTTTTGAAAGAAAAAAAAATACAGATTTTTCCATAGTTGTGACATTCCTGTTAGCATGCATGTTCATTGAAATGCAGATGCTACAGATGCTCTAGTATGTGAAACTTTGAGAAACCAAGTGAACTCTCTTTTGATATAGGTTAAATATACTATAAATTCAAGACAGTTTCAAGAAATACACAAAGCTCTTCAGACAATACTTTAATAATTCGTGGTTTGACTGAGGAATCAAGTAAATCTGGTAAGTTTGGCAAGGTGTAGTATGTGAAAATTACTAAAACAGAAACATTAAAGTAAAATGCAAATGAAAAGTGTGCATGTAGATTTGGTTCAGAAATTACCACTGTAGTCCAGTCAAAGCTCAGCCTGCTGAATTGTGGACATCTATGCTGTTGTATGTCCTGCAATTGTAGAACATGCAGGACATATTTCACAACATAATTCAGGGTGCCTATTATACTGTGATATATTAATCAAAATGCTCTTCATTGTGAGGAAACTGAGTCTGAAAAAACTCAAGAACTGAATATTTAGCAAGTCTTAATAAGAGAAAACATAAAAAGCTGCTATTTTAATCAGGCTCATAATCTACTTTGGTGTGGCTTCAGTTTATATATATCGTCTTAGAGCAAGTTCAGTAAGTTGAATGTGCATTTGACTCTTCTGAATTCTCTTTTGTGAAATTTGTCGTGAAGTGCTTGTGTACTGAAAAAGGAGACTCATGGAAAGATTCGATTTGAGTGAGGCAGAAGGAAAAGCTTTCTGGAGCACACTTGGCAGCTACAACTTCCCAAATGTTATCCATTTCACAATAAGGTCTTTTTGCTTTATGTGCTCATCCTTGGTAATGTAAAACTTATCTCTTTCATCTTGAATAATTTACATTTGCTTAGGTTTCCATTGTTGGATGCATAATTATTTCCATTTGTTCCATTTTTGCTAGTTTGTTCTTTCCTCTGAAAGCATATTAAAAACTAAGAAACTTGTTCTAAGCAATTGTTTTTTTATGTAGATCCAGATCTAATGCTCAAGTTGCAGTGTCTGTGTTTCAATGTACTTTTCTCTAGGAAATCTATTAAGCTGATAGCACTAAATACA